ACAGGAACAGCTCCTCTCATCCTTCTCATCTCAATAGAGAATGCCAAAGGATGAGGTCTCTTAACTTTCTATTCTGTCTATGAACTTAACCCATCCTCATCTTGCACCCCAAAATGTACTTGGCTTGATTATAATGAAACATACTGAATATATATTCATATACATGTACTGACTTGTTATATTATTTGTGCATTTTAGTGTATATGTGTACGTGAGAGAATTCACGCACACACATGCAGTAACATCCATTGTTGGTAAGCACTGAGGAATCTGGCACCAGAATTGTGAAATTCACTCTTTAGTGGCTAGCACAACACCAAGCTTAAGTGGGGTCATTCAATGGACTCTACAATTGACCATGTCACACTTCTGGATGCAAAATACTGGAAGAAGAGACTGAAGTAGATGTAAATTTGAAAACTCTTATTGTTGTAGGAAAAACAGTGGAAACATAAGCATCTTAGAGGAAGAAGAGCTTAATCCTAAGGGGAAGGTTGAAGCCTTGGTGAAAGCAAGCATAACAGGGTTTACAAACAGTCCAGAATCAGAAAAAGGTGACAGAAGAGGAAGGAAGACAGAAGAAGATCATGCAGAATAAATAAAATCCAACCTTTAAAAAAAAAAAAAAAGGTCTTATCAAAGAGAAAGGCAGAAAAAGGAAGATTTCAACAAGAGTGTTAAAGATGGAAAAGAGCCAGAGAGGGCTGTAGGCTTAAAAAAAAAAAAAAAAATCAATGAAGAAGTAGTGGTGTATGTTGGCAAAGAGAAGTGTAGAGTTAAGGGAAGGGAGAGAATTTATGGTAGAGGAAGTTGGTGTGAAGTTTTCCTCTAAAGATGCCCAGCAGAGCAAAGAAGGAATGAAGGCAAAAGCCACTGGGAATAAGGTAGAGCTGGGCCTGAAACAGCACAGGAGAAAGCAACAGGGCCCAAAGTAGGAAATTATTTTCTTTTTTTTTTTTTTAAATTAACTGACCCAGATTTTCTTGTCTGGGGCCAAAGGCAACTGCAGGATTTAAAGATCTTTAAAATAAATTATAAAGATCCTACTCCCTGCAATTGCCTTTGGCCCAAAATAAAATAAACTATAAAGATCATGACAGAATTAGTGTCAGTTTCTGAGAAAGTACAAAATACCATTGTAGAGTTAATTTTAGCAATCAGACTAATAAATGCTGTTACAGTAATGCTACTGTGAATAAAACACCTTTAGCTTTCTCTTTTTATCAGCTACGGGGTAAAAACAGAAACTTTGTAGTTACATGTATGTCCACAGAAAATAATAAGTAACTTAATATATACTTAAAACCGAGTTATTTGTCTTTATATACTGTAGCCTATTGCCCCACCCCAAGAAATGTTTTACTTGGTTCACGATTCATAGGACAGGTTAAAGGGCTACACAGAAAAAAGCTAAGGTTAAAAATAAAGACCATAAGATGAGGGAGGGGGAAATGAGATGTGTTGTGCTGATAACAGAAATGGGGCATTAGAAACACAATTCACTCAAGTCAGCAAGGGGAAAATGGCACAAAAGCATGACAATGCCATACAACTAATCTTGATAGCCTCACTGAGGGTTCCAAATCAAATATTGAACCAGATTTTTCAACTTTTCTATTTTTAAAACATCAACATTTAATCGTTTGATAAATGCAGTTATATGATTTTAAATTACTATTAAAATTAGCACATCAATGCCTAATTCTTTGGCAAAGGCCAAATGGCAGGCAGTAATGTTAGACACATATAACCTCGCCCTTAAGTCACTCACTGCTCTTCTTTCTCAGAGGCCGTGGATTGCACCTGCAAGGCCAGATCCCAAATCCTCAGGCCAGCATTCAAAGCCTTTAATGACATAGCCACAACGATACCTATCTAACCCTAAATCCCGCTACCCCCAAAACCTAGCCTCCACTGTCCGAGCGCACAGACCTCTGGACAGACCTTATCTCTGGGGTCTGGCCATTTCCACCTTCCTACCTGGTGTGGAAGTCTCCTTCCATCTACAGGTTCTGGCTCACCAAGGCCTACACTGGCGCTGCCGTCCTCCCGCACTCCAGTCCGCTGCGCTCTCGCTCCGCAGCCCCGCACTCCGCCCCTCCCTGGGGCGCCTGCACCACCTCACCCACTTGCCGTTTTGCCCTGGGGCCCCTTTCCCTCCCCTGGGCCAGCTCTCTGGGGCCTTCTCCCTGCCCTCCCACCCCAAAATTCTCCCAAGGGACATTCCCCGCCTGCCTCCAGTCACAGACTGTATTCGGTGTCTATTAGGGGGTTCGCGCCTGGGGTAAAAGCAGGACCTGGACCCCGCAGGGCCCCTCCCCCTTAACTCCCTCGCCGGGCTACCCCGGCCCAGCCACCCTCGAGGGCTCCGGCCACCCAAATCTCCCCGCCGCGGCCGGTCCCTCCATCCGGTGGCGGGCAGCGGGGGTCGGCGGTGACTCACCGGAGGGCCGGCGGCCGGGGGGGCCGGAATGCGCTCACTTCCTCACCACGCGCACCTGCCCGGCGCCGCTGGAGCGCCGCCCGGCTGGGCCTCCGGCGGATGTTTTTTCTGTCCCCGCGCGCGCGCGCGCGCGGGCAGTGAGCGCCAACCGCCCCCTCCCGGCCGCGCCCCCCCCCCAACTGGCATCCCCAACGACCGCTGCCCCAAGAATCACAGAATTGGGCCCTAACTACTGACATCCCCAACACACAAGCACACACACATAGCAACCACAAGCGTGGACTCCGACTCCAAATGGCTGGAGACGCACGCTGGAGCACACACACCAGCAGGAATGCAAGTGGGTTCAACCAACACCTTCCCGACACCCACCGCCCCACAACTTCTGAGAGAGGGATCCTGGCTCAGCCCCAGCCTTTCTTTCCAGAAGCCCCCTACTCCTGCCCATATGCCTACCTTATCTTCATTACAGGCGTCTCTCACTTCGGTCCCCATTATCTCACACAAACCAATTCCCACTGGGCCCCCTTTGCCTTCCAGCATCATCAACTTCAAGCTTCCCAGCTTCCCAGTCGTGTCTGCCCCCTACTGGGTTGGCTCCAGGTTGCAGGAGCAGAAGACTGGTCCAGACTTTCAGGGTGTCAGCAGGACCCCCTTCCCCAGAAAGGTAGCAGCAGAGCTACTGACCACTGACAAGAGGTCTGGGCCCTTGTGCTAGAAAGGCCTTCTCCTCCACCTCCTCCAGCCATGTATCCCACACACAAGCCTGTATCAGGGCACCCTGCTTCAACCATGAGTTTCCTTTTTTCTCTTGGTACTCCTCTGAAACAGAAAGGGTATCAGACCTGACTAGGGTGACCATGTGGTACAGTCGGCATCTCCATCCACTTAAGCTCTCTACTGGGAAGAGAACAGATAGGGAGTCTGAGGTGGATGGATGAAGTTGTTTCTGAATGGTCAAGAGCTGAGGCAGGGTAGCCCTCTAAAAAGCTCAGCCAGAAGTAGTTGTAGCTGATCCACTGGGTGACGGAATGGGAGTCTTGAAGTAAAAGGGACTGGAGACTTAGAAGGAAAAACAGAATGTCAGAGTGATCGGCCCTCTGCATAGGAGGGGAACAGCTAGGATAGGGTCTTTGGAGTGTGGCAAACTGAAGGAAAGGAGCCATTAGTAGCAAAGAGATGGCCAGCATTTTGGAGTGGTCAGAAAAAAAGAACTTGAGAGTTCACATGAGTGGGGATGGGACACAATGGATCAGAATCCTAATGTAAAAAGCAGGAGTCCCAAAGTTAGCTGGAAGGATGAGAAAATGACACCTCTTCCCAGGGCAAAAGTGAGGGTACTGACCTAGGAAAAGTGGGTTTACCAGCAACACTGTTTCTCAAACTGGAGGTGGTAAGGACAACATGGAACATAAATGTGAAAAGGGCGGAAGTCTGTGGTAGGAGATAGCAGCCCCCAACAAAAGCCCTCAGCAATGCAGAGCTGTTCGAAGTGATTCAAACAACGAACATACCTATTTTGTCTCTGAGCTCTAGCACCAATCACAGGAGCTAATATTTTCTGAGGGCCATGTGCCAGGGACACTACTAACAGCATTACATGCATTACCTCATTGAAAGCCTCTTAACAATCCTATGAGTTAATATTACTATCCCAATGTAAAGATAAGGAAACAGACTTAGAGAGGTGAAGTGGCTTGCCCAAAGTCACACAGTCTTAAGTAGAATCAGGATCTGAATTCAACTAGTCTGACTCTATAACCTATGCTCTTAATCACCCACCTTGGGGGTCTCTAGAACCTGCAGGAAACCCAAAAGAGGATGTCAGAGGATTCCTCAATTCTCATTCCATAATGTACAATAGGAAAGAGGGGTACCTCTGTGAAACTGCACTGACTCACACCATCAGGGCATTTAAAGATGTTCCTCTTTGAAAGAACCATCCCCAGATATGGGAAGATCTTATATCTGCTGTATGTTTGGAGGTATGGAACAATGCATCCTCAGTATGCCTGTGGAAAAGAGACACCTACCTCCCCATCTCTGTGGGGCAGCCATGTCTCTAGGATACTTCCGGGAGACTCTGCCCTAGGGTCTGAGAAACATTCTGCACTCCAGGTGCCTGTTCGCTCTCCTGGAGCCTCTGGCTGTCGCACCCTACTGCAGCTCCTTGGTTTGGCTGGGGCACAGGATTAGCCATCCCCAGGAAATGCCTCCCTCCGGTCCAGGCAAGGATCCCAGCACACACACCCCTGGAGTGTGTGTGTTGGGGGGGGGAATGCTTCCTTCTCTCCAGGTCAGGGAAGAGATGTAGGGACCACCTGGGGGCCCTCACCCCTCCCACCTCCTTGCTGGGGAAGTGCCCAATCCAGTGCCCCTTCCATGGCCACCTCCCTCCCCAGCTGTGCCGGGGCATGAATCAGCTCTCACAGCTTGTTAAAGCTAGACCTCTTGTTTTCATGCCCTCACCTCAGGAAACAGACTTACAGCTTTTCCAGCTCTACTCAGCAGGGGGCCAGGGTCCTCACTTTATAAACATCCCCAAGCCTGCGAGAGCAGAGGGCACGGAGATGGTGTGAGACAGGAGCCCAGGGGAGAAAGAGAGAAACTAAGACCCAAGGAGAAAAACAAAGAAAAGCCAGAGACAAGCCAGAGTAGCCTGAACAGAGACCAAGAAGGGATCGCGAGGGCTGTGCGCAGGAATGACCCTAAGGATGCGCTGGACTGGACAGGCGAAGGGGGTCCTGGGAAGTTGGGGGATCATCTGCTTGGTGATCTCTCTGCTCCTCCAGCAGCCAGGAGTCCACAGCAAGTGCTACTTCCAAGCTCAAGGTAAAGCTGGGGGAGGCATTAGGAAAGGACAGGGACAGAGGGAGCTGGGGTTTAGAGATGATCCTCTATCGGAATACCCAGACTCCCCCCAGCTCGGAAACAGGAGAGACTAAAAATGGGGGTGATATGCACTTACTTTCTCCCACTCCAGACCACAAGCAATCCTGTCTGCCACCACCACTCCCAAACACCCTAATATTTCCTATTCTTCCCTAGCCCCCTGCCACTATGAAGGAAAGTATTTTACCCTGGGTGAATCTTGGCTCCGCAAGGACTGTTTCCATTGTACCTGTCTGCATCCCGTCGGTGTGGGCTGCTGTGACACGTGAGTGACCGAAGATGGCCAGAGAGAATGGCTCTGACATGAGTTACTGAGGGCTGGCCAGGGTGTAACCATATTGCTGTGATGTGAGAATGAACAGAACAGAGGTATGAGGCTGGCCGAACCTGAAGGTACCAACAAGAGTTTGAAAGATAAGGCTGCAGGCTACAAAGTGAGGGGATGTAGGGGTGGGTCCGGAGGGAAAATATTTCTGCTACGAAATGAAAAAATCCATATATGGTAGGCGAGAGCTTAGTTAGGGGGACCAAGAGGGCACTAAAGATATGGGAGGAATGCTGGCAGAGAGCAAGTGTGGGGCAGGGATAAAGATGGCCCTTCACTGTGCTGACTCCTTTCCCATCCTTTGGTTCCCCAGGTCCCAGCATCCCATCGACTTCCCCGCGGGCTGTGAGGTACGTCAGGAGGCAGGAACCTGCCAATTCTCCCTGGTGCAAAAATCTGACCCTCGGCTGCCCTGCAAAGGGGGAGGGCCCGACCCAGAATGGGGCTCAGCTAACACCCCTGCTCCTGGGGCTCCTGCTCCCCACTCCAGCTAAACTCAACTGATCACCCTTCTGCTGACTGCCCACTGCTGCTGCCACTTCCAGGGAAACCACTAGCAGCTGCCAATTTATTCTGAATAAATAAATTAATGCTACAGCTGAAAGCCTGCCTCTCATTGTCCGTGCCATTGGACCCCATGTGGGGAAAATGGGCCCTACTAGAGTCCAGGTGCTGAGTTCTTAGTATCCTGAAGAAAGTGTCACGGTGAGCCAGTTTCAGATGGTTATGGTGCTGGTGCTGGGGCCTGGGGCTGCATATGAGGCCAGGGTAGGGCTTGTGGGCAGCACCTTGATGGGGAGGTCCCAGCTGAAGGTGTCTACAGGCACTTGCTCAGGCCCAGTCCAGGTGACAGGCTCAGGCTGTTCCAAGGGAGGTAGGAGCACTAAACCTGGTTCTCGCGATGTTACGAATTCAAAATGCAATCGCCACTTCAGGGACACTGTGGAAAAGAAAAAGATAAAAGGCAGAGGCATTAGAAGCCAGGAGTAAAAACCAATGCAGGATGTGGTCAGTGAATGAGGAAAAAAAGCGGTATTCAGGAAGAGAGGGAAAAGTCACAGGGCTAGAAATCTGTCAACTAGAAATGTGACAATCAGGATAGCAAGGTCAAGCATCTGATAACCATAGCGTAGACTTGGTAGCTTGAAGTAAACATGCTGGGGAATCAGAGATCGGTGTATCATAGGGTCTCAGTGGGTAGGGGAAGGAAGGATACCTGCAAAGCTCTTAAGAGTTTAAGTGTTGGTGCATCTAGGACACAGGTTGAAGGTCTGAGAAAGTGTTAAGGGTCAGAGGCTGGGTGTGGATATGGCCAGGAGTTTGTTAGGAATCAGGACCCATTACACTCTATGGAAATACGGCATTTTACTCTCTTCCCCCCTCCGATAAGGGTCAGGATCTCACCAACAGCTGTGCAGAAGCCTGGGGTGGAGCTGAGAGGGATGGGGAGAGAGAAGCTGGTTCTGGTTGTATGCAGGCAGGACTCCTGGTGCCGGGCATGAGTCACATGAGACACAGAGGGGACACCACCCGTCCTGCGGTGCCTCTGGTACTCGGGCTGTACACGCTCCTCAGTCTGTAAGCTTACTGAAAACTGGGAGCAAGGAGAGAAGTGGGTGGTAGCAGGCACTGAGAAGTGCAGACTTTAGATGAGAGGCTTGAGCCCAACCTCAAGCTGTTTTACCAAAAGGACCCTGGGTGACCACACTATTCACTTCTATATACCACCCCTCTATGCAGGCCCTTCTTCCTCCCTAGCCCTCCAAGCCCAGCATCCCAAAAGCCCCTTTCCTTCTCACCTGCAAACAAGCTACAGTTCCTTCCCCTAAGTTTAAGGTCCCCACCACATCCTCGCCGAGTCTGTATACAGATTTGAAGATGCCAAATGTCCCAACTTTTCCTCGGCCATCACTGATATTGTATAGATCTGGGGAGAATGGGACACTGTAAGCCTGGAGTCCACACTGGGGAGTACCTTGGGCTGGGAACCAGAGGCCCAAGATGGGGCTTTTCTTTATAATGTGGGATATGTAAGTGAATCCTCAGAAGTACGTGTCAATTAGGAAAATCTGTAATACTATGGGGTGGGGGTGGGGTGGGGGGGTGGCAATTGTGAAAGGATTCTCACGGAGGCTGCGGCAGGATGTGGCAGCCATGAGGCGCTCCCCAGCCAGCTCAGCTAGCCATGAATCCTTCTTCCCACCTTCATCCTCCTCCAAGAATGGACTAGATGGGGCTACAGCCTCATCCTGGGGAAACCGGACATCTTGAAGGCCTACAGAGAGAATAAGTGGAAAGCAGTGCTAGGAGGGAATAGACAGTAGAGGTTAGGGTTTTAGACTCCAACCTGTGAAAGCTGAAGGTAATGGGAGCCATGCCCCAGGTACCCATCTTAACCTATTGTCTAGAACCCTCCCTCTCCAACCCCTTCGCACCTTTACTAAGACCAGGAAGCTTCCCTCCAGCCCCCCTCACAAGCCCTCTACAGATCATTTCCAGAAATCCTTACTTACCTGTCAGCACAAGAACCCTCAGAGGAACCCTGAGTAAAGTGATGGGTGAGTTGACACGCTGGCAGCCAATGGTCAGTTTGTAGACATACTTGACTGACTGACCCCGAAAGGAGGGTGGTCCCTCTATGGGCAGCACTTCACTGTAGGAGTCTGGTTGGGAAGTAGTAGTCAGGGCAGCCAGAGGCAGCCAGAGAAGTCCTCCCTCCAGGAGCCTTAGAAGGCAATCCAGGGGTGGGGAGGAGGCAGTCACTCACATGATTTGGACTCTCCGGGATCTAGCCTCAGATCACAGAAAAGGATTTTTGGTGGAGTGGAAAGGATACACTGACCTCTCTCACCTAAAAGAGATTAAAAAGACTGCAATTTATTTTTATTTTCTTTTAAAGATTTTATTTATTCATTTGGGACACAGAAATACAGAGAGAGACAGCATGAGCAGGCGGGAGAGGCAGAGGGAGAGGGAGAAGCAGCCTCTCTGCTGAGCCAGGAGCCTAATGTGGGCCTTGATCCCAGGACCCTGGGATCACGACCTGAGCTGAAGGCAGACGCTTAACCATCTGAGCCACTTAGGCTGCAGCCACCCAAAAGACTGCAATTTAATGACCCCACTGTCCAGTACCGAATGAAGCTAGCACAGCAAGTAGGGGCAGTAAGCACTGCCAACAAAGGGCAGCCCAAACTAAGCCACCCCCCTTTTCTTGTTTTAAGATAGGACCAGTCTTAAACCCCCAAAGTAACAATTACATTCCCCCTCATCTCCAATATGACAAAGACAGGAAGGACCCACTAGAACAATTTTACAAATTTACTCTCAGGTGACAATGACTCCCCCTTCTAAAGGCAAATGCCCTTCTCTAACCTCGGTGCGGTAGAAAGACAGTCTGGCTCTCCGGCTGGACGTCTGGCTGACTGGAGTCAGGGGGAGGTAGTGCTACTCGACTCTCACTTGCATGGAACTGGCAGTGGATTTGGGCACTGGCCCAGGCCAGAGCCTCACTATGGGAGGAGGAAAAGAAGGCATCAGAGGGGAGTTGCTGACCTCATAAATGCTCTCCCAAGCTCCCTAACCCCCCCTGAGGAGACCAACACGGTGAGGTGGCTGTCCTAGGAATCAGGGAATCTAGAATCCCAAAGAGAATCCATTAAACAAAGAGAAGTATACTATGGGTAAAAGTGGGAATGGGGGAGGAGGGAGGAAGGGAGTGTAGAGGGTTCTGTCAACCACATCTTTTGTTAAACAGCCCTTTCTTTCCTACCATGAGAACACAATAAGCAAGAAGGTAGTGGCGCAGCTACAGGACAACCTGAGCTCTGGCTTAGCACTACAGATACCAGACTTCCTCCCAAAAGAACCACCTTCTTCAGTATCTCCATCCCCACCTGGATGCAGAAGTGGCCGTGGGGGGCAGGGGGTTGGTGACCGTCACTACACACTCCAGCGCCTCCCCCGCCAGAAACACAGGACCTCGGCTCAGCTCTGCTACCACTTCAATCATGGCAGCTCCGGAATCAAATCTAGAAGGAAACAGGGCTGGTCAGAGGTCAGTACCATGGCAGGGAGGGGCGTCTGCGGCGAGCCTGGGGGCGAGGACAGAGGAGACGGGCGGTCACCACCACGGTGTCTGAGGGAAGCTCCTGGATTTGGGGTGCGGGAGGTGGATGGGAAGTAGGGGTGGCAGCTGACTCAGTAGGGGGAGGTCGTCGCTCGGGCTCCCAGTCCCCCGCCCCTCTTAACGCCCACTTAGTCCCCTTACCCCCTCTCCCGGAACCTCCAAACCGGCCTCCGCCCCCCTCCCGCCAGATTCCAGGTCCCAGCCCAAGGCCACAGCCCCCCGTCACCTCGTGCCCCAACCCCGGGCACCTCGCACGGTCGAAAACGGGGTCTCGGCACACCGAGGCCCTCACCTGCCCGCCCCTGCAGGACCCGGCCAAGTACGTGGCGGCGTCCGCGGCAGAGGCGGGACTTCCCTTCAGCCCCCTTCCCGACCGAGCGCCTTCCGGCCGGAAACGCCCGCCTAGCCGGACCGGAAGGGGCTCCGGTCGTCCTGCCGCCTGGGGTCAACTTCCCACGGGCTGGCACCTGGGCGCAGGGGCTGTCCCAGACACCAACCGGCGGGACCCGGCGCCCTACCCAGGGAGGGGCCTGGCGCCACGGCCCTTGGACCGGGCTGAGGCTGCCGCGAGCTCCTAGGACGGTCCCGGGGGCGGTTCCTTGCGGGCTGGCCCCCGGGGCTCCTCCCCTTTCCGCGGACTCGGTAGCTCTTTGGCCGGGCAAACTAATCACCGCGGCCCAATGACGACGAGGCCCGACCCTTCCCTCCCAGGACCCAGAGAGACGACCGAGGGGGAGTCCGAAGCGGCTTCATTGCTGTCGCCGCCGACGCCGCTGCAGCAACAGCTTCCAGGCTCCACAGAGACGCTAGCTCACCGCGGCTTTCCCCAGCGCCCGGCCCTCCGAGACGACACCTAACCACCACAGCCGCCCGCATCTCGACTTGGCTGGCGAGGTATTTTGTACCAAAAGACTTGGGACCCGGGACCATCGAGGTCGTGGGGACCCAGGATCCAGGAAACATGGGAACTGGAGTCCCAGCCTCGGAGCAGACTAGGTGTGCCAAAGGGGAGCCACAGATTTATTGCCCTGAAAATGCTGGAGGCACTGAGGCTGGGCAGGTTACAGACTTCGAGAGCTCTGAGGACAATCGACCCCAAAGTGAGCCAGGCTACAGCAATCCGGAGGATTCTGGGCAACTGATGGCATCTTATGAAGGTAAAGCTAAGGGCTACCAGGTGCCTCCCTTTGGCTGGCGCATCTGCCTGGCTCATGAATTTGCAGAGAAGAGGAAACCCTTTAATGCCAACAACGTCTCCCTAAGCAACCTGATAAAGCATCTGGGCATGGGCTTGCGGTGAGTAGATCCCATTGCCTAGAGTACCTTAGGTTTCACTTTGTTCCAGGTGAGAAAGCAGGTGGATGCTTTGTCCCAGTCAACTGGCCCCCCACCCCCAACATATTCTAAGCCTGTGGTTTTGCGGGGTGAGACCGGATCACATCTCTGCAACCCCCTTCCTCCCAGTAACTTACTTCCTAGTAGGAAAGAACAGGAACATCTGGGCCTGTAGTCAGCCTTTCCCATTTAAGCTCCCTCTCACATACTCCCTCTTTCCCAAAGACCACCCTTTGGCATTTGCTATACTTTGTGGCAAGGTGGGAAAGGATAGTCTGGTGGCGGCTGCTTACTGACACAATGTTGTTATATTCAGGAGGGGGAAGTTCTCAACCCTGATTCCCCTGAGCAGCTGGGGTACTCTCCTTGCCTCATTTAGGCATACCACATTACGTTTCCTTCTTCAAGCTTTAGCTCCAGGGAGTGGATGACAGCCTGCCTGCTCTCACCCCAAGGAGAGGGTGTGAGAGGTGCTGTTCACTTTCTTCTGGGATAGACAATCCCTGATATAAAAAGCAAAGAAGACCTCTGGCCAGAGAGGCACTGCCATAAGTGTCCCCAGAGCTCTCAGTAATAACAGCCTTCCAGAGCCTGCACAGATGTGCTTTCCCCCAAGGGTTACAGACACCCCAAGCACTTACCCTGAGCTGTAGAACTCCTTTAGATCCCTACAGATCCCCTCTGAGTTCAAAAGCTAGTGATGAGGAGCCAAGACCTATGAACAGGAACAGGTGGATATGAAGACAGAAAGCATCACCCTGAGGTCATCCTGAGTCAACCCACACTGTAAACACAGCTGGGGATGGAAGCATAAAGGTTGGAAAACCCAGCCCTAACAGCCTCTAAACTAGGGGATCCTTCCCTCTCAGTCAGTGCTGTAGGGCTGGGTTGGGTAGCCCATTTACCTAACCCCAGCTCTCAGCAGTGGGAAGGGTCTGGCACTGCCTGGGTATCTGGCTCCTTTGCTAGGTCCTGTGGGTGGCCTGTACCAGAGAACAATCATCCCTACAGGCTACTGCAGAAACTGACTCTGCCTAACTTTGACCCAAAAGCTTCTGGGTCAAAATAAGATCGAGGGCTAGAGTGCTGAGAGAAGCACACTGGGGTGCATGTGATAGGGACCCTGAGATCAAGAACAAGTGGGCATCTTAGCCCTTCGGTCCCTAAGTATGAGCTGAGTCAGAGGCCTGAAGCTGTGCTCAGCCCCCTGGACCTTGGCTCCACATGCCAGGATAGGGTGGAGATCACCGACACAAGGCTTTTGGAACAGGATGCAGTCCTGCATTGAGGAGAAAGCAGGGGTGAGACAAGGAACAATTCTGAATGATAATCCTTAAATTTGGGCTGACATTATGGAGAAGGCCAAATAGATCACGAATGGCCAGCTGCTAAGTTAAGGGAATGAGAGGTGAACCCTAAGAGGAAGCCAGACTGGGGTACTCTAATCAGGAGTTGCAGCAAGCCAACATTCTCTTGGCCTCATTGTGGGAAGATCTCAATTTTGATTGCTCTCCCTTCCAGCTAGAGTCCATTCATTCAATAAGTATTTATTGAGTGCTTGTTCTATGCGAGATGCTCCTTTGTTCTGCCTATCTCCATATCTTGCATTTCTCCCTCACTGCCCTAATCCCCGCTGCACCCACCCTCCCTTCCCCAATTCTTTCTGGCCTCTAGTTTCAAAGTCCAGTTTACTCTAAAATGGCAGAGAAGACCTTGTGCCTTACCATCCTCTCATCCTTTGCCCTCCCTCCTCCTCCCCCTACTCCCAGAATGTACCTTTCCTATTCTCATTTCTCCTCCCCTTGCTTCTCTTTGTGTTCATCTGTCTAGTGCCCCACTGGTTGTACAATCATTGGTAAATTCAGCAAGTGTTTATCAACTGTAGACCACGTGCCCTGCCTGTGCTTGAAGCTGTGGGTAATCAACTAGTCTTTGTCAATAACCCTTTCCCCAAGGAATTTAAAAGTATGTCAGACTCACATGAGGAACACTTAGAAATAACAAGCGTCTGATTGGGCGTTCAGATAGTGTATGTACAGGTAACAACCATACCTGACACACATATTCCACTTGATGGCTTTCCTCTCTATTATGCCATTTGCTCTTTCAACCATTCCATGAAGTAGGGAGGACAGGAGGTACCCCATTTTGCAAATGAGGAAACTGAGGGTCAGAGGAGTTACTTACCCCAATTACATGGTTACAAGTGGCATGCTTGAACAATGGGTATAAAATAGCTGGGTAGGGAGGATAGTGGAATTGGGAGAGTCTGGTGGGGCAAGGGTTGCTTAGTGGGGATTTGTAGGACTTAAGATTAGAAGTTAGGCTGAAACAGATGTCAGAGCCTTGAATCCCAAACAGAATCATCTGTCTGTTGGACACAGAGCTGTGACAAGACCAGAAAAATGTAGGGATTTTTTTAGGTTTTACTAGGATATTATGAGAGAGCAGACTCAGAAAGCTTACAGTTTAGATGAACTTTTAAAAAAGACGTAAAAGGATATGCCCCAAAAAGTAAATACTGGTTGTCTATGGGTGGGATTTTTTTCCCTTCCATCTGGTATATTCTACAGATTTTCACCTTTCACAATCAGGAAGAAAAAATAATCATTTTGAAAAGAAGAAATTTATCCCAGCAGACTGTGCCTATTGGGGGAGGGGGGTATAGTCGGGAAACCAAAACTGGCCCTTTCAGTACCTCAAACAAAACCTCCTAAGCTAACTCAAGCAGTGATAATAGAGTCAGAGGTGAGGCAAGGTCAGAAAGCTCCTGAGAGAGGAGAAACAAAGACAGTCCCATGCTGTGAGCTGGGGTGACTGGGAAGAGAAATAGAACTGTTGAGAAATAGAGAGGAGGAGAGATTTGGAAGTGAAGGGAATGGGTCCTCTGCAGACCCATTTGATGGGAAGTTACAACTGGGTATCTGGAGAGAGGCAGCCCAGGAGGTACCACCCCCTGCCCCTTCCACTCACACTGCCTCTTGCTCCTCAGGTACCTGCAGTGGTGGTACCGGAAGACCCAGGTGGAGAAGAAGACACCTTTCATTGACCTCATCAATTGTGTGCCCCTGAGACAGATCTATGGTGAGCCTCACCCCAGCTCTGCTCTGCACAGAGAGGGCCCAGCCTCCGGGTCTACTGCAGAGCTAGGCAAAGAGGCTTCCAGCTTAAGCACGTTGCACTGCCCCATCCCCTGGGGTTTTCTTTCCCCAACCTTATTGAGCTATAGTTGACATAAAACATCATGTTAGTTTAAAGTGTACAATGTAGGGATGCCTGGGTGGCTCAGTTGGTTAAGCATCTGCCTTCAGCTCAGGTCATGATCCCAGAGTCCTGGGATCGAGCCCCGCATCGGGCTCCCTGCTTGGCGGGGAGCCTGCTTCTCCCTCTCCCACGCCCCCTGCTAGTGTTCCCTCTCTTGCTGTCTCTCTCTCTGTCAAATTAAAAAAAAAAAAAAAAATCTTTAAAAAGAAAAAATAAAGTGTACAATGTATTGACTTGATATTTCCGTGGTTTTTAGAGGAACTCATCTCTATGGTCTAGAAGTAAGAAATGGGCTTCGTTTCCTCTCACCGAGCTTCACTAGTGACTATCCTGATCTCGCTCTAGGTTGTCCTCTGGGCGGCATCGGGGGAGGCACTATCACCCGAGGCTGGAGAGGCCAGTTCTGTCGCTGGCAGCTTGATCCTGGAATGTACAAGCACCGAACAGTCATCGCTGACCAAGTAAGAACCAGCAGGTGGAAGAGAGGTCCAGAACAATATCCCAGGTCAGGAAGAACCTCTTGGCCCGTGTAGGATGTGGACGTTCGATGTGCACATGTGCACCTGGTTCACTCCAATAAGTATTTTAGGATGCTTTCCTTGTGCCCAGCCTTGTGCTAGGATGTACTAGGAATGAGATACTCCAAGGCTACACATTTCTGAAAAGCGTAAACAGCCCCAGCACCTCTGTGCCCTCCAATTCTCTAGTAAATGCCTCTTAACATCCTTCATACTGCCCCAGCTCCACTAGCTCAGCCAGTACCTGCACAGAGGGTGCAGGGAATTCCCAGATCACTTAACCTAGTTGAAAGAACATGTAGTAGGACCAGAAGGGAAAACAAACCAAAAGTCTATAAATGCATGGAGAAAAAAGATGTATAGAACACCCACTGTTCACCCTGATTGGCCAGCCTTCAGCTAGAGGTCAGCTCCTCTGCTGATCACTCCTCTGGAGGTCTCCTTGGCTAAGAGCCTGGGAAGCCCCTCCTCTCCCAGGCATAGTTCTCTGGCCTTTTTCCCTTTTCTGAAGCTTCACTTCTTTTCCCTCTGTTCCTTCATCACATCTGGGCCTTCAATTGCCAGAGTCATATGGTCTACCTTTCGTCATATCTCTCTAGTGACCTCACAGGTAGAGCTGTCCACCATGTTCCCATTTCCTGTCTGAGGGATGCCTCCAGCTTTCAGCTCATCTTCAAAGAAAAAAATGACTAGCAGACCTTGAGTCCAATTAATGACAATGCCCTTCCTAGTTCAGGTTTACCAGCCCTGCCCAGTGTCCCAAGCTTCCTCTCTGGCTCATCCATTAGGTATCCTGAGGGGACGTGCCTGCCAGAATCATGACTCTAGAGTTAAAGTAATTATTGCATGCTTAACGTGTGCTAGAGATTGTGCTATGCATTTTGTAGGATATTTAATATTTAAAGACAGTCCTGCAAGGTAAGTACCATTATTATGCCCCCTTTATAGATGAGGAAACTAAGATCCAAAGAGATTTAGTAAACACCCCCAAGGTCATGTCGTTGGCAAATGGAAGCACGTTGGGATTCAGAACCAGCTCTCGATGTGGTCTTAACCATTCTCTACCATTCCAGCAATATTAAAAATTATTGTATACATACATAAAAATATCAGGCATACGTTGAAGCAAGGGAAGAGATATTAACCCCTCATATCCCCTATCCTCCAGAAGCTTAAATTTTTATTAGGCAAATAGGACTTTGAGAAAATGGAGACCGTGAGACCACATAAGAACCAAAATGAGAGGGATAGATAGTACACTGAGAAAAAATGGATACTTTGCCCATTCTCTCCCTATACATGCCAACTGTGCCTGTTTCTGGTGGTGGAGTTGTAGTGGAGGTGGGGGGGGCCTCAGTGAACTGGAGAGGGCCCTGCCCTCAATGAACCCATAGAGCAATCAGGGAGTCAGAATGTAAACAAAAACATTATGCTAGACTACAGAGGTAGGGGGACATACAGGACAATGACTCACTGCTTGAGGAGAGGAGATGGCATTTGACCTAGGCTTTGAAGGATGAGCAGTTTCATCAGATGGAGAATGAGCAGGAGCAAAGGCATGGAGGAGGAAATGTAGTGTGTTCAAGAAACAGTGAGTATTTGACATGACCAGAATGTAAGTGCTTCAACAGGTAATCAGTCTGATGGGCAGGGAGAGGCCAGATCAAGAAGGGCCTTGAAAGCCAGGTAGAAGAGTTTAGACTTTAGCCTGAGGGCCATGGGGAGTCACTGAAACATAAACACAGACTAGCACATCTTGATTTGTCTGTAAGAAGATCACTGATAACAGATGGGAAGAGGCAGAGCATAAAGGAAGAAATGGTGAGGGCACAAAGACCACCACAGTAAGAAAGGAGAGGAAACGGGGGAGAGAGGAGGAGGAGGTAGGACCTGGTGGTGACTCACAGTGTGGGAGAGGGGCCTTGCGGATGAGCGAGGCTGTGGTGCAGTGATAACCCCTGTAGGCTCGGAAAGGGGAGGGGAGACGAGTTTGAGGTGGCTGTGGTTACCCCATCCCAGCCTATCTGCCTTCTTGGTGTAGTTCACAGTGTGCTTGCGTCGGGAGGGGAAGACCGTGTACCAGCAAGTCCTGTCCGTGGAGCGCCCAAGTGTCCTGCGCAGCTGGAACTGGGGCCTGTGTGGGTACTTTGCATTCTACCACGCCCTCTATCCCCGAGCCTGGACTGTCTATCAGCTTCCTGGCCAGAATGTCACCCTCACCTGTCGCCAGATCACACCCATCTTGCCCCATGACTACCAGGTGAGGCTCCCACTGTGTTTGCTCCATTGCCCTCCCCTCCCTGAGATCTGTCTCTGCTGTAAATTCCACAATCCTTGAAAGAGAGAGGACTGGAACATGACATGCTGGTTTTCCAGGACCTCCATTCAGTGGTAAGACCCCCTGCCTGGGAATATGGGGAGATGCAAGTGGAAACTAAAGAGAGTATACTGGGGGCAGGGGATAGTGTTTGAGCCAGGTCCTCGGTTTGGAGGAGTGGGGCCAGGAGGGGCTACACTGGGACCATCTGAGTCTGATCTTTTGCTCCCAGGACAGCAGCCTGCCTGTAGGAGTCTTTGTATGGGATGTGGAAAATGAAGGGGACGAAGCGCTGGATGTGTCCATCATGTTCTCCATGCGGAATGGACTGGGGGTTGGAGATGATGCCCCAGGGGGATTGTGGAATGAGCCCTTCTGTCTGGAGCGTGATGGGGAGACCACACAGGGGCTGCTGCTGCATCATCCAACCCTTCCGAATCCCTACACGATGGCTGTGGCCGCACGACTCACGGTACATTAGAGCCTCCCCTAGACCTTAGCCCCCGAACGCCTCCCCTCAGCCTGACCCCCAAGTGCACTGCATCCCACCACGGGCTCTTCCTTTCCTCAGTTCCTGAGTCCCATCCTCACTACAGCCCTTAAGCCTCTGGTGGGAATTATAATGGGCACTGGAGAGTAGTCCAAAGCCAGCCTACTTGGGGAGCCTCCCCTCAAAGAGTCTTTGGCCCCTTAACAGGCGGCTACCACGGTAACCCACATCACAGCCTTTGACCCTGACAGCACTGGGCAGCAGGTGTGGCAAGATCTACTTCAAGATGGACAGCTGGACTCCCCTGCTGGTGATGGGGGGATTTGATAGGGAGGTGGTGGGAAGAGAGGTTGTTCCCGTCTTGGGAGGAGGGGTGAGAGCACTGGTAACGAACAGGCCTTATTTTCCCATATTAGGGACCCCTGGGGCTGAAGGGGGTGCCTATGCCGATTTCTCTTGTGCTTCTCTCAGGCCGAAGCACCCCCTCGCAGAAAGGAGTAGGCATCGCTGGGGCTGTGTGTGTTACAGGCAAGCTGCCACCTCGAGGCCAGTGCCGCCTGGAGTTCTCACTGGCTTGGGATATGCCCAGAATCATGTTTGGAGCTAAGGGCCAGGTCTACTACAGGTGAAGGGACCAAGAGAGTACAGGGATCCAAGGTGCTGGAGCTCTGACCTGGAACCCGAGTTCTCATTCCTCCCCTTTCTTTCCATCCCAGGCGGTACACGAGGTTCTTTGGCCGCGATGGTAATGCAGCACCTGCCCTTAGCCACTATGCCCTGTGCCGGTATGTGGACTGGGAAGAGAAGATCTCAGCTTGGCAGAGCCCAATATTGGACGACAGGTGCCAATGGGGCTGATCTCTTGCCTTTCTCCTGGGCACTCACACTCCAGTTGGGACTCCTTGGTTCAGTCTCCACTCAACCACAGTCAGCAGAGTTGGGCTGGGATTCATTTGGTGCCCCCTGCTCTGCAGAACTCCAGAATCCTTCCCTTCCTGGGAGATCCACACTCATCAGACCGTTCCTTCCTCCTGACTCCCCAGATCCTTGCCTGCCTGGTACAAATCTGCGCTCTTCAATGAACTATACTTCCTGGCTGATGGAGGCACAGTATGGCTGGAAGTTCCTGAGGACTCCCTACCAGAGGAGCTGGTGGGGAGCATGTGTCAGCTCCGCCCCATCCTCCAGGAATACGGTCGATTTGGCTACCTGGAAGGTACGGGCAGCTGGTGGGCCACAGTATCCACGAGGCCAGTTAGTGCCCTACCACAAGGCAGGACAGTGGGTTTTGCCTACCCCGGGGGATTGGTTGGGATGAAGGGGTAAGCGGCAGGTGTGGGGTAGGCCAGTACCCCATCCCCAATTCCAGGGGAAGCAGGAATTCTGGCAACTGTGTCTCCCTCCTTCCCCCAGGCCAGGAATATCGCATGTACAACACATATGACGTCCACTTTTACGCTTCCTTTGCCCTCGTCATGCTCTGGCCCAAACTCGAGCTCAGCCTGCAGTATGACATGGGTGAGGGTCCCTTTTGTGCCCCTTCTGCCGTCTCCCCCCACCCCGGCCCTGAATCTTTGTGGCCCCTCAGATTGTCTCCACCCTCCTCTCCACTCGTCCTGCTTACTGGCTCCCCTCCAGGGTCGTAAACACAGTTCTGAGCCCCACCTCAAGTCTGCCCATTCCCTGCCCCCCCACTTGTGTGTCTGCTCCCCCAGCTCTGGCCACACTCAGGGAGGACCTGACACGGCGACAGTACCTGATGAGTGGGGTAATGGCACCTGTGAAAAGGAGGAACGTCATCCCCCATGATATTGGGGACCCAGGTAAAAGTACCTCCACCCCAGGGTTCACTTCCCTCCCTCAACTTTTGCACCCTCTACCCACCAATGCAAATCAGTCAGGTTTCCTCCCCTCCCACAGATGACGAGCCATGGCTCCGAGTCAATGCATATGTGGTCCACGATACCGCGGACTGGAAGGACTTAAACCTGAAGTTTGTGCTGCAGGTTTATCGAGACTATTACCTGACGGGGGACCAGGGCTTCCTGAGAGACATGTGGCCTGTGTGCCTGGTAAGACATGCATGTGCAGTGGCCACTGTGCCAAGGGCACGACTGGTGTTTGGGGAAAGCCCAGCGGTCTGTTGTTGTCTTTCTTTAGCATCTACCTAGGTCTTCAGTGTCTTGGTTCCTCTCTAGGTTGTGATGGAGTCTGAAATGAAGTTTGACAAGGACCAAGATGGACTCATTGAGAATGGAGGCTATGCAGACCAGACCTATGATGGATGGATCACCACAGGCCCCAGGTAGGGGAGTAGGGATTTCCAGGGTGCCTGAGGTGGGGAACTGGGCACCAAGGAATTGTGGGCTCCAGGAAGAATGAGTCATTGCTTGTGATGTTGTATGGGAGTGGCTGGAGCTGCCAGTCTGACCCCCACACCCGTGTCCCTGATCAGTGCTTACTGTGGAGGACTGTGGCTGGCAGCCGTGGCTGTGATGGTCCAGATGGCGGGTCTGTGTGGGGCACAGGACGTCCAGGATAAGTTTTCTTCCATCCTTAGACGGGGCCAAGAAGCCTATGAGCGACTGCTGTGGAATGGTGAGTTGGAGGATCCTAAGGAGTCTTAAGGCAGCTGTGGGGCCACAAGGAACCTTATTTTGTCTTCCTCTGCGCCAGGCCGCTATTACAACTATGACTGCAGCCCTCAGCCTCAGTCCTGTAGCATCATGTCTGACCAGTGCGCTGGCCAGTGGTTCCTGAGGGCCAGTGGTCTAGGAGAAGGAGACACTGAGGTGAGAAAGACGAGGAGGAGGAGCCAGAGAGAAAGGTGGGTTTCCCCTGGAGGTGGGAAGCACGTTTAGGAAACCGTGATTCTGCCTTTGCCCGTCTAGGTATTTCCTACCCCCCACGTGGTCTGTGCTCTCCAGACTATCTTCGAGTTCAATGTCCGGGCCTTTGCAGGAGGAGCCATGGGGGCTGTGAATGGGATGCAGCCCCATGGTGTCCCTGACAGATCCAGTGTCCAGTCTGATGAAGTCTGGGTGGGTGTAGTCTACGGGTTGGCAGCCACCATGATCCAGGAGGTAATGCACTCCCTTTCCATCTCTCCTCCACCATCTGTACCCTGGGCTGGCAAACTTCCTCAGCCATCGAACCTCTGTAGGGCCCTACCCATCTGGAAAGCCCCTCCCTTTTTCCAGGCATGCCTTCCATTTCCTGCCTTCGGGTTCTGTCTATGGGTCAAGCTTATTTCTACCACAGGCTGGGAACTCCCTGAGGGCAGAGGCCCTATTGTCTCTATCTGTCCAGCTGAAGTAGCTATTCAGGGACTGCCAAGTAATGTGCCTGACATCTCTTCCTCCAGGGCCTGACTTGGGAAGGCTTCCAGACAGCTGAAGGCTGCTACCGAACCGTGTGGGAGCGTCTGGGCCTGGCCTTCCAGACCCCTGAAGCATACTGCCAGCAGCGGGTGTTCCGCTCGCTGGCCTACATGAGGCCGCTGAGCATCTGGGCCATGCAGCTGGCCCTGCAGCAGCAGCACAGAAAGGCCTCCAAGCCAGTAGCCGAACAGGGCACAGGACTAAGCACAGGACCTAACCCTAGACCAAAGGAAGCCACAGCAAACCCAAAGTGAGCCCTCTGAACTGTGGGAGGGAGGCTCTAACAGCCCAGCCTCCAGCCTGGCCTTTCCTCTTCCTCTTCACTGCTCCCCCCCCCCCCCGCCCCAGTCTCCTGCAACCCTGAGCCACCGAGACAATCATGCCCCTTCCCTTCTCCCCACCCAGTCGTGCCAGTAAAGAGGGGCTGAAGGTGATCCAAGCATCAGAATCACTTATTTATTTCTCTCCTCACCCAATCCCCTCACTGCATGAAATGTTTAACGAGGTCGGTTGATTCCCCCAGGCCCATTCATGGGGTGATAGATTTATGTGGGTACAAATAAAAGACCCAAAGAGCCAGTTAAGTGTGGTGTGTTTGAACTCTCAGGCTTCCTGACACAGGACGCATGAGCTCAGGCTAGCCCTCTCCCATTCCTTTCATTTGGACACAGGCTAGGAACCGCAGACTCTGGCTTAGCGCCCCCCCCCCACCAATCTAGCCTGAATATCTGCCCTGTAAGATAACAGATGTGGGGCTGTGAGTAGGGAACCATTCCCCATCTCTTGTGAAATTTGCATGCAGGGGAAGGGCCGGACCTGGGCAGGGGGACTTTGAGGAAGGGATAGGAAGTGGCAACTTCAGGGGAGGCTCAGCACCAGGAGCCTGAGGCATGTGGTAGAGCAGGCAGCAAGAGTTGCCAAGAGCCTGGATCTCTTGGTCTGAACTGTCCTTTGGTACCTCTGACTGCAGGGCAGGCAGCTCCAGCTGGTGAGGGTCCTCACTGGGGAGGGCACGAAGCTGGCGGGACAACACTAAGGAAACAGACTCCTCAAGGACCGGCCAGGCTTCCCCCCTAGCCCTTCCTTAATGGTATTCTCAAGCCTCTCACCTCCGTGCTCAGCTGGCAGGCTCCCCCTTGTGTCAGAGGAGTACATAGCAGGTACGATGAGCAGACAGAAGGAGAAAAGTAGGACCTGGAGAACGGGGAAAAAGAAAATGAAGAAGGGCTCTAGGTTGCAGCCCTGTCCCTGCCACCTGAGAAAAGGATCTCTCCTTCCATCACCATCCTCACCAAGACGCAGGTGCTGGTGCTGCTCGTTTTGTCTGATACCTGAATCACCATGGCCTGGAGTCTCCTCAGCTGGTCCAGAAGGGACCTGGAAGAAGAAGGAGGACAGTGAGCAGCCCCTGGCCTGGCACCCTGAGATACAATGAAACCTTCCTGTTAAGGCCACCCCTCCATCTGTGCACTGAATTATCTCTTGCTTTTCGTCCTATTTTTAAATGGATTCTTCCTCTCCGTGGACAAAATGCCTGAAGTTCCTCATTAAAACAAACACCTTTCTGTCCTGACCTGATTTAAACTCCTTTGCAAATACCTTCAGTGGTTCTACACTGCGTGATCAGCTATGCACATAATCTTCACCGGGCATTCGATGTTCTCTCTCTGACTCAACTCACCTATGTTAAGGTTCCAGCCAGACTGCACTATGCCATGTTCTTTCTGCCTAGAGTGCTCCCTATCCCGACCCCCACCCCAGAATCCTATCTACTATCAAACGTCATCAGCCCCGTGGGGTCTTTTTTTTTTTTTCTTTTTAAAGATTTTATTTATTTATTTGACAGAGAGAGACACAGTGAGAGAGGAGCACAGGCACGGGGAGTGGAGGGGAGAGAGGCAGGCCTCCCGCTGAGCGGGGAGCCCGATGCGGGGCTCGATCCCAGAACGCTGGGATCATGACCTGAGCCGAAGGCAGACGCTCAACGACTGAGCCACCCAGGCGCCCCCCTTTTTTTTTTAAATTAACATATAATGTATTGTTTCATTTGTTTCAGGGGTACAGGTCTGTGATTCATGCCCCTTCAGATTACTACATTTGTATCTTTGGGGTAACTACCCAGTAGGGCAATTGCTGGGTCGTAGGGTAGCTCTATTTTCAACTTTTTGAGGAACCTCCATACTGTCTTCCCAGAGTGGCTACACCAGCTTGCATTCCCACCAACAGTGTAGGAGGGTTCCATGGGGTCTTTCTTACTCCCTCCTCACTCTTTCTGAATATTTAACTTACTTAATTACTTGTGAATTTGTTCCCCACTACTGTAAGCTTCTTGAAATCAGATCCACTAAAGGCCAAGCACCAGACCTTGCATGTAGGAGCTGCCCAGTGTGGAGCAGGGGAAAGAATGAGACAGCATAAAACAGGAGGGAGGAGGGACTGATGTTAGAGAGTTACTTACAAATTCTGTTCCTCCAGGAGCTGTACTTTGTTCTGTAGCTCCAGATTCTGGGCTGTGTATTTCAAGACCCTGGGGGAATAATAATAGGATATGGGGATATGGCCTGTATCCCCCCTTCAAAACCCAACACTTCCAACTATCTCTGCGCCCCTCCCCCCCACCCCATCCCTCTCCCTTGTGTACCTGCTCTCTAAACCTCCCAAATACACCTTCTTCTTCCTGCGGCTCTCCTGAGCAGACTTTTTGTTTCTAATTTTCCTCCGCACTCGTGTCAGAACTTGTTCCTCCATCTAAGAGAAGACAGAAAAGAGATCTTCATCAGAGGAACACTGGACCAAAGAATTGGAAGGCAACTAAGTTCAATCTTCTCAAGGCAGGAATCCCTTCTACAGCTTCCCAGACCAAAAGGCACTTGGCTTCTCTCTGAATGCCTCTGAAGGCCAGGGGTTAACATCCTCACAAGCCAGACCATTTTTAACAGTTTTATTAATTAAAAAAAAAGAAGAAGAAAACAACCCTTGCCTGGGTACCTCAGTTGGTTGGGAGTCTGACTCTTGATTTCAGCTCAGGTCATGATCTCAGGGTCGTGGGATGGTGCTCAGTGGGGAGTCTGCTTGAGATTCTTATTCCTTCTCCCTCTCCCTCTGCCCCCCACCCTGCCCTGCTTGTGCGCACAAGCGCAATCTATTAAAATAAATAAATCTTTTCAAAAAAAATCTTCCTTATCCTGAGCCAACATATGATTTCTATCAATTGGACTTACCTAGTACCTATCTCTGAGGTCATATAGAATGAACAGTCTTTAACTATTTTAAGGCACTTAACATTTCTTCAGAGTTAAATAATCTGGGCAAAAATTTTAACTCCTCACTTTATCTTCTCTCCTCGGGATGGACTGCATCCTCTTAATATCTGTCAAAGATCTGGGTTCAAAACTAGACACTAAAATGTGCTCTGGCCAGTATAAAGGAGAATAAGATGGTCACTGCCCTTCTAGAGGCAACACCTCCATTGATACAGCCTTCAAACCCCACTCACTTCCTTAGTCATCTCAAACTGCTAACTCATCTTGTAGTTTTAAGAAATTAAAATTCTCTCAGGGCACCTGGGTGGCTCAGTCGGTTAAGCAACCACCTTCAGCTCAGGTCATGATCCTGGAGTCCCGGGATCGAGTCCCACATCGGGCTCCCTGCTC